ACCGCCACACTCTTGCTATGGCTCTAATAGCTCTGACCCCCGGACAACTTTATTTATTAACATACAATCAAAATCACATTTCAGTACAATTAGATTACCACCACATTTCCCCTTTTCTATTTTAATAAAAAGAAAAAAAGCAAAAGGTTAAACTAACAAAAGAAAAACTATATACAAAAATACAATAACTATATACAATATAATTTTTAGCTATTTTCCTGGTACTTTATAGTCACTTTTTAGTAACTGCAGTTAGGTATCATCTCCTTCTTGCTCATAGGCCATAGTTTCTCATCTGCAAATCAGTTAGTAAATGCAAAGTCGGTGGGTTCTGCAGACTCTGTGAATAAATGTGAATGGGTATGAAGCTGTTTATAATCCTAATAGTTGCACTTTGTGTGACTTTATGTATTTTAATGTAGAAATATTGTTGATATACAGAATGTGGTTCAAGTTTCTGTTATCACATAATATATAGTAAATTAACATTCCTGAAACCTAAAACTTCCAGACTCTAAAAACATCCAACTCCAGACTCCAATTAGGGATGTGGACTATACACACACCTCCCTGTCCTTCATCTTTCCTTATCCAGTTGGCTAGAATTTTCAGTGTTGAATAAGTGATAGCTTGTGCTTTTTAAAAATGCAAATATAATGCCCACGCATCTTAAAATTGGGTATATTAATGGTGAAAATCAAGATTCACCCCCAGGATGAAAAGAATAACACTTTTCTAAAATTAGTCTGTAAACAGAAACGTATTTTTCTTTCAGATGTTGACCCAGCACATGCTCCAGCACACCTCTATCTACTCTGACATCCTACCACCCTGCGTTGTGGTTCACAGAGTTCCCCTCCTGGTGTGACCTTCAGCTTCCCCCAGTACTCTGAGAGGGAAGAGTACTACTGTCTCCATTCCTTGACTTTGGATCCAATCAAGTAAGGACCATCGAGTGAGGCAGTGAGGCTAGTGTGCCCGTTCAGAAGCCACACCCCAAGGTGTTTCTCTCGGGCACACCTGCCACCGACATGAGAACATCTTTAGCTCACTGGTCCAAAGAAGCTGAGACACATGCAGAGTGGAGCCTTCCAGATGAAACCAGTTATCCAGATGAAACTAGTCTCGATCAGCCACCATCCGACCCACCTGAGCTTGGCCAAGAGCTTAGCGTTGCATGTTGCTGAGATTTCTCAATCGTCTATTGACCTACGCCTTTCTAGCAACCATTAGCGGATGGAAATACGTGGTTGACTGACTGGATTTTGACGCTGAACTTCACTCCTGCAATAAACCTAAATTTGTAAAATAATAAATGTTGGTCATTATTTTTAAATTTGGCTGGAATCTCTTTACTTAATTGTTCCTTCAGAATTTGGAGGTTTACATTCAGTGATCCCGTGGGCTACTTTTACTTTGCTAGGTTAGGATATTAGAGCCATACATTCATGATAAAGCATATTGGCCATAAACAAAGCTCTCAGTGTCCTTCACACAATGAGAAAAATACAGAAAGTGTATAATGGGCTTGAGAGTCTAACTTGATATAACTTAAGGGATCGTTCTTCCCTGGGATTGGATGCTGTGTTTTCAATGTTAGATTATCAAATGATTGTGCTGATAAAGCATTAATAATAAAGAATGTTTCTACAAAAATACAAACTAAAAGCTGGCAATTGCATGTCAGTTTTTCCAACTCTGCTCTAGAACAAGCTGGGTGTCTTGTAGTGAACAGACAGTGGGGTGTGTTTTCAGATTTGGAGTCATTCCAAACAGGGTAAAATTGTGGTCCAGATGAGCTTTGAGCTGAGTGGCTTTTTCTACCCTTTGGCCACGCAGTTGCACCCCTCACTCATAGGGTGGGTTAATAAGTAGACTCCTTGGGTTTACTGTGAAGTTATATGTTGCAGTGTGTATAGCACAAGATTGTGTGCACAATAAGTATCAGCAAATATTAACTATTGTGTTACCAACGTTTTGACACTTTTCTCTTTATTAATGCATTCTGTTTTCTGTCCTTGATTTAATTTTTTAAAATATTGACTGGAATAGATACATTTAAAAACATATAACTGAAACACAGGGCTCAAGAGATGACTGAGCGATTGCTTTTGCACAGGATGAGGGTTCGATTCCCAACACCCACACGGTGGCTCACAACCACTCCTACAGCTCCAGGGGATCTGACCTCCTCTTCAGGTATCCTTGGGCACCAGGTATGCACCTGGTTTATGTACATACGTACATACATACATGCTAACAAAGCATTCATATACATAAGATAAAAAGTAACTAAAATTATTTTAGAAATGTATCACTTGATAGACTAAAACATTCAACACACCCATGTAAGCACCAATTGAGGATGTAGACTGCCGTCTGCATCTCAAGAATACCCAATATCACATACCACCTTAAAAGTCATCATTCTCCCCAAGAGCACTCATTACCTGCATTTCTAATACTATAGGTTACTTTGTTTGTGCCTGACATATTAATAAATCTAAGCTACACACACACACACACACACACACACACACACACACACACACACACACACATTTCTTTTTAATGGCATCCTTGGCTTTAGTGTGTATATTAGCACATGGAGGTGTAGATTTTTCATCCTCTATTAGTAGTGTTGAGTGGTGTGAATAGAACACCATTTACTGTGTTATTGATGGACATTTGATTTCTTTCCAGACCCATGATGTATCATTAAAGGTGAAAGTATTTTATTGTCTTTTTGAGAACCAGCTCATGGATTTCTTAGTGTAATGCTTATGTAGCCTCCCGGTTTGTGCGGGGTTCTCAAGATCTTTTATCTTTATGGAGTCTTTTAACTCCCTTCCCTGCCATCCACCCTCCAAGCTTAAGCTGAACACTTGGTCTATTTATGTTTGCTTGGTCTCAGGTAGGGATTTCTCCATGAGATAAAGTCTAAAGCTGTCAAGAGGTAAAAGCCAGGCACTTTCCCCCCTGGACATAATTAGATACTTTCAAACAGTAGTGTGTGGCGCTCTAAGCGTCCATACTTTTCTTTCTTTATGTTCAGACTACAGTGTGGATGGTGAAAGTTGCAACCAAGCCAACTGGAGTTTCGGAGCAGGTGTTCAGAGGACGTGTGTGAGCGGGAGTCATGTTAGGGGGTACTGAGATGGAGTGGGGCTGGGGCTGGCCTGGGATTAGAATAAAAAACCAGTTTTTGAAGACCGCAGAGTCTTATCTTGTCTTCTAATTAAACACACACACACACACACACACACACACACACACACACACACACACACACAGAGAGAGACACACAAAGACACTAGAAACAAGCACATTTCTAACTAGAGGAAGCAACAGCTATAAGCTTTTAAGTTCCTGAATTCTCTTAAGTTGAACCTCAGCACTGACCGATTTATTCCTTTAAATACTAGCAGCATTCACACACCTTTCCAGAATCCAACTGTCTGTTGTACAGAAATTCTTTAAAGACTCAGAGCCAGGCAGCCTGCATCCTAAGCATAAAGGTTTCAAATACAATCTGGCTTCGGAGATAGCCCAGGCAGTGAAATACTAGCCACGGGGGAGCATGGGGAACCCTGGAACTCGCGTAAACAAAACAAGCCAGGTGGAATCCCAGTGCCAGGGAGGCAGAGACAGGTGGATCTTGGCTGCTCACTAGCTGCGGTAGTTTGAGTGTAATCGGCCCCCATAATCTCATAGGAAGTAGCATTATTTGGAGGTGTGGCTTTGTTGGAGTCAGTATGGCCTTGCTGGAGGAAGTGTGTCACTGTGGGGACGGGCTTTGGGGTTCCCTATGCTCAGGATACCGCCCATTGTCTCAATCGACTTCCTGTTGCCTGCAAGATGTAGGACTTTCAGCTCCTCTTCTTCCCGCGCCACGTCTGCCTGCGTGTCCTCATGTTTCCCGCCATGACGATAATGGACTGAACCTCTGAAACTGTAAGTGAACCCATCAGTTCAATGTTTTCCTTGTAAGAGTTGCCGCGGTCCTGGTGTCTCTTCTCAGCAATGGAAACCCTAAGACATTAGCCAAGCACACCAGTCACACAAGCTTTCTTGGTGAGTTGAGGCCAGTGAAAAACCTTGTCTTAAAAAAAAAAGGTAGATGACATTTTAGGTTGTGTTCTGTTTCCACACATATGCACATACATGTGTACACACACACACACGTTTCAACTGTGATTTGAGAACAGGAAAAAACTAGTTCCCATAATCCTCCTAGGAAAACAATCTCTCTTAGTGTAAAGCTGTATCATAAAAACTAATCTCGCGAGGGTTTTGAAGCTAAGCCCTGCCTCCCCCCCCCCCCCCCCGTAGCAGAAGTTCAAAGCTGGAATATAAGGCAAGGGCAGGGAGAGGTTTCCAAGAGGAATCTTGCTGAGTGGACGCCCTGCCGGGCATGCTGGTTTGCGGTGACACTGAGGTTTGGGCTATTGAATGGACGGCCTTGTTTGTGTCCTCTCGGTCATATGAAGCAGAGGAGGCTGGCTGCATGCTGCACAAAGTCAAGGAAATGCCAGGGGCCCCGGGAGCCTGGGGCCGCTGTGAAGTGAGTCAGTTGCTACTCACAGGTCTGGTATGGCAATTGCAGGCCATGGGCTGTTGATGACACGGGACGGTTTGACATGAAATCATGGATGGAAGCGTTCGTCCCAGCCTTTGAAATGTACAGCATGTTCGTGGAATTATCTGCCATGTCCCAAGAAGGTTACAGTTGGCAACCTGTTTATGGCTTGGTGTCAAGGCTTAACTCACTCACTAAGACAATTTAAGATGCTCAGCTGTAGACTCGGGGGAGAGGGGTGCTGACTGGCTGGAAAGGAATGTAGAGTGTCTCTCTAGAGGGGAACGGATGGGCATGGGGGCACAGAGGATGGATGTACGGGGGCACAGGAGAAGGGATGGGCAGGGGGGCAGAGGGGATGGACGGGCGGGGGGCACAGGGGAAAGTGGGAAGCCGAGGGGGGAACAAGGGAAGGGAAGTGGTGTGTTGGGTGAGGGCCATGTAAATGCTTTTGATTTCCCCAGGTGAATGTTGTCTAAATTAACAAATCACTGAATGTTATTTAGCTGAGCAAGCCTGGTTATCAAAACAAAACAAAACGGAAGGGAAACCCTAAGCGATTTATCAGTATCTGCCTACATGAATCTCTCTGAAAGTCTTAGCTTTTTCTTCAGTAATTAGTCTCAAGAATTATAAGTTGGAGATGAATAATTCATTACTTTTCCAGAGGCTAAGAAGAGATTATGAAATCAAGATAATCACATAAAAACTATGGCTGAAATTGAAAGGAAAAATATTGGAATTCTCAAAATAACACATAACATTTCTGCTAGGCCAGTTTTAAAAATCTATTTTCAAACCACACAATACCACCAGTTCCCAGCAGAGGGGGTCAGAGAGTCAGCTGACTTGACCACGAGCCGCTGGAAAATTCAGTTTAAAATAAGCTTTCCTTTCTCCCTTACCTAATTCTGATTTAATTTCTTGACTTAATGGGTTTGGTGGGCTGATCTGTGTCATTTGCTGTCCTAGTCTTGCCCGTGGAAGCAAGCGGTGATCAGCTGTCCCAGAACGCCGAGCAGGGTTCCACCCGAGGACAGGGAGGGCCCTTTGCATCCGCCCTCCCACAAAAGCCTTTTGACACAAGCCTGGCTCTCATGGAAGCCACCGCATGCCTCAATCCAGAGGCAGTGTTTAACTCACAAAGTAAATAAGTGCGCGTCTGAGCGATTTCCAAACCACATAAATGCTATTGTTTTATTCATTACAAGTCTCCACCGTGAGAGAGTGCCCAGAGCAGGAATTCATCGCCTTACCTGGAAAATGCGCGTCTCCGAAATGAGGTGAAAACCTTCATTCTCACAGGCCGACCCTGCGAACATTAGATAAGCTGCATGTCTTATGCAGTCTTTCTTGCAGTTGTCTTAGACTTTTTAATGCATTTCCAACACAGAACGATGCCTTTTTAAATGTAACAGTTGAGGGGAACAACTGATTGTCAAAAGCCAAGGAAAAGTCTGCTACCCTGCCTTTCCCTCGCTGAGGACAGTGCCTTGCTTAGTGTACACTCCCGATTTCAGAGCATGTCTGGGCATGCCCGCTGAGCTCTATAGAGGCCTGTGGCTGTGGGACTGTGGAGGGTCCCAGGAGGGTCGGGCATAATGGCAGATGCAATAATTAATAATATTGGCCTGATAAATAATAATGTCTTGGCTTAAGAAGAAAACTAGCAGCTTTTACTCGGAAAGCCTAGACATGGAAGATGTAACAAAACCTGAGCCAATTGGATAATGTTACTTCCAGAGTG